TCGTGACGACGAGGATCTCGACACTAATATGACCTACAATCAAATTTACACGCATTATCGATCGAACTCAAGTCATTCATTCGAACATTGTCTCGTGGGATGAATCAAACACTGCGTTTGTCATTCACAATAAAAATTCAACATAACATAATACATATGATCCAAGTCAAAAAATTATCCATAGTTTTTATCTCACTCCTCTTGTTTGCATATTACAGGTTCGGACGACGATTTAAGTCCTGCATTCAATCAAAATATGTCAAATTCTACTAATACACCGTATCGAATAACACGTCGAATGAGTCCATCAACAGCTGCTCGATCAATAATATCATCGTATTCACAAGATACAAATGTTTCAACTCCACCAGCACTAACCAAAACAAATTCTCGTATTCGTACCCAACGTAAGTTTGAAGAAGTTATAACAACTGGAAATCTTCTTGATGAATTAAAAGAAAAATCCGAAACAAAAAAAGCCAAACTTAAACATAAAGAAGTACCACAATCTCAACGTTCATCAAAAAAAAAAGAATTAGTGAAATTTTATTCGTATTTTCATGTATATATTTAGGTTCTTATATTAGCATTAACTTCATTTTTTATGATTATTCACACATCTCGTCAATTCATTCATTGAATTTTTCATTTGTATCTGATGCAGTGATTTGTTCTTATCGAAATTTTCTGTACATCGTGTATATAACGTGTATAATACTTTGACCCTGTGTTTTAACCATTTTGATGTGAAAAACTCATATGATATATCGAAAGAGAAATAATACAAATGTCAATTAATAAAACTCCACAAACATTTAGCATTTAGAAAATAATATTTATTTTGTTTTATATAGAATTATTTAATAAAATCATTCAAAGAGAGTAGATGTTGAAAATTTATTTTCTAATGTAGATAAAATTTATTGATTGAGGTGACTGAAAACGATAATAGCCCTTTTTTTAAAATTAAATTAATTTATATTTAAATTAATTGCATTATAATATTAACGTATTCTGTAGATGATTCAACTAATCAGAAATCAAGATGTTTCAGTACGGCATCTATTTTAA